AGTCGATGCGTCAAGACAGCAGCTGTTAGTGGAACAGTTTCTGGTCGGTGTACTTAGGATAATAACCGATTGACTCCTTATTACCAGCGCTATGTAGAGAACTGGTGTGGCAGAGCTCGTCCAAGTGGCAAAGGAGTTTACACACGAGACAGTTGCTGCATTGCGAACAGAAGGCCTAAAGAGGAGGAGCGATTGGACAAACTAGAGGAGAGGCTTGAGCAGATTACGCCAAACATCGGGACCTTTCGAATTCCTTGTCAGCAGGCATTGCTAATGGGACGGTGCTTCTTTTGTGGGAAACTAAGACACTGGAAGCAGCTATATCCGTTCAGGCGCAGTGCACTTTTCATAATAAGTAAAGGCTATAAACCTTATGGTTTTCGTGTTTGAGCGTGCATACTTGGGTCATTGAACAAAGGTAGAGATAACTGAGAAAGTGAGGTGTTCGATTGATACAGGAGGCGCGGCTTCAGTTATCTCTCACAGAGGTGGAGTGAAATCTCAGGCGTCTTGCTTGGAAGTTAAGACGGTCGGTGCTTACGATATACACACAAATTGTATGGCGATGCATATGATTGCTATCCGCATTCGTAAATTCAATTCTCTCTTCGTCGTTTCCCCGGACACAAAACAGACCATCCTAAAGACAGACTTTCTCCAAGTCATCGAGGCAATCGTCGCCCTGAAGCAAGGAAGGCTAATGACGAAATACGAGGCTATACCACTTGTTCGTAGAGAAGAATCAACATGGGTATGCGCGGTAGTGGCAGTTTTACGCGCAAGTCCCCCTGCAATAGCTCGCAGGCAGTTACGATATCCTATTCCTATCCTACGAGTTTTGTGACTAAATCGAACGCACAATTCCACTATTGAATCAGCCATATTATCAGCCTCATGCACCCGGAATAATACCAATACACCTGGTGGCTGATGTCAGAAGGCAAGTGTAATTGAAGAGGCTCACAATCCCTATAACTTCTCAGTTGTTTTGATGAAGAAGGCCAACGGCAAGTATCGCTTGGGCTTCAGAGGGCTGAAAGAAGTCTCGCTGAGTCGTTTCGTCCCGATGCCACCGATTGCAGACATTTTCGACAGATTTACGAAGTCAGGGATATTCAGGGTACTAGACTTGATATCGGGTCGTTGGTATGTGGCGCTCAAACAAGAGGACCAGAAGAAGACGGCATTTACAGTTAACGATGGCTAACCTTCTTGGGAATGTAGAATTTATCACCTCGATGGGCGACCTGTGGCACCGCATCCGTGGGCAGATGCCGGCTGCTGTCGAGCATACCATCGGGCTCGCAAACTATAAGCGTTGCGATTGGTTTAATAACAGCAATACAAACATTGGTGCGTTGGTGTCGCAGAAGAATGCGGCGTCCACTGTACATGTGGCGAACTTGATCGACTGTGAGGAGGAAAATCTTTTTTTCAGACTAACAGCGATTGACTTGAGAGCTCCGTCACGTCAAGAATGCATGGTGGACGGCGAAGGCTGGTCAGATGGAATGTTAAGTCGACTCCTTGAAGACGATGTATATTTTCATCTTGCAGCCGCTGATGACACTGCTGGATGTTACTTCAGGGGCTGCCTATACAGGCTGCAGTCATGGTGCAGATCTGGCAAAAGCACTTCGACTGTCTCTTGAGCAACCATTCACAGTTTGACTCTGCTATGTTGCACGGGCTGGAACAACAAGAGATGGAGATGTGTCTTGCCGACACACAGAGGATACATGCTCAGTTGCGAAACGACAAGTGTTTAAGTGTTGAAACACAACGGACGCACGTTGCTACATGCACTGCACCACTTGACGCAACGCATGTGGTTTGAGGAAGTGCCAGCGACTTTGAAAGATGCTTTTTTGCTACCACTGTACGAGGGCAAAGGGATCGACTTGCTGACTTGTGTGGAAAGGTAGTCGTCTGAATCCTGCTCAACCGCCTCGTCACACAGATCATTGAGCTGAACGTGGCAGAACAGTAGTGAGGATTCTTTTCGGAACGCAGCACCATAGCTGTGGTATTCGTGACTCAATAGTTGCACTAGAAACGTAGAGGGTGACGCCAGCCATTGTACCCACTGTTTGTTGACTTCCCCGTAGTCTTTGACACGGTGAAGCGTGAGTCGCTGGCTGGTGTCGGGTAAGTTTATTGTCCGAGTAAGTTTGTAAGTTTAACCGAATGTCTGCGCAGTGGTATGCGGACAAGCGCGCAGTTTGGTGGACAGACCTCTGACGACTTCGCAGTTATGGTGTGAAGCAAGGCTGTGTCTTAGCTCCTGCCCTTTTTAATATTTATTTTCATTTTATTTGCTTGTGATGCGGCGTGTGCTTACGTAGTTCATATGGAGCACCGTATTGATACTGGGTTGCTGAACATCCGTCGTTTCCGTGCGATAACTTTAGTCTGTGTGACAACTATCGGTAAGTTGCTGTTTGCTGACGGCTGTGCGTTGTTTGCACACAGCGCGGATGAGTTGTGGCACATGCCTAGTGCTCTGGCTTCGACAGCGGCCAAATTCGGGCTCACCATCAACACAAGCAAAACTGTCTGTCTAATTCAGCCTTCATCGGAGTTGCAATCTGCAATGGTGCCGCGAATCAGCGTTGATGATGCCGTATTGGAAACCACTTCCCGTTCCTGCTACCTTGTGAGTGTGATGTCGACTGACCAGCAGCTACACAGTGAGCCTCGTATCCGTGTATGGAAGGCAGCGGCGGTGTTCGGGATGCTAGAGTGCCGAGTATGGAATAACCACCAGTTTACTGTTGGCACGGAGCTGATGGTTTACGAATCCCTGGTGCTGTCCGTTCTTCTATACTACTACGGATCATGTACGATGTGCCGGCGAGATTTGAGGTGTCTCGAACGGTTTCCTCAGCAGTGTTTGCGACGGATTTTGCGCATCGGTTGGGGCGACAGAGTTGCTGACACGGAAGTGTTGCGACAAAGTGGACTGCATACTTTTGCTGGGACACTTGAGGTGGCTCGGTCATGTGAGCCGTATGGATTCGATGCGGATACCGAAACAACTCTTATATGGTCAGCTAAGTATTGGGAAGCGGCATGTGGGGAAATCGAAGCTTCGTTACCAGGACATGACCAAAGTGAGCCCATTACGTACTAATCCTGATTGCAGGTCATGGGAATCGAAGGCGGTTGATCGGCGTGCATGGCGCGATCTGATCACGAAGGCCGTAGCCGAGGTGCAAGAGAAAACTCTCGTGCATACGGAAATGAAACGACAGGCGCCGATGGACTGTGCTACCTTGACGTCGAGCGTTTGCTTTTGTTGCACATGCGTTCGTTAATGCCTGAGTCAGGCAGGCCTAGTTAGCCGCGAGTGAGCTCATTCAGAATCAACATCGCAAAGACGAAGGGTCCTGATGAGAACGTATGCAGAACCGCCGCAGCGTTTGTAGGTACACTGCATTCGATTTACTAACAGCATGCTTGCGTGCCCTGTTTCTTTATTTTCGGTGCTTGGTTTGCTATATTTTGTAAATGCTTGCTTCGTTTAGTCATTTAGATGTCTGTCTGAATGCGCTTCTTTTTACTTACACACGTCGCTTACGCAGGTTGCGGTTAAACTCATTAACTTTTTCGCGTTTGTAGCTTTTTACAAAAACATTTTTTCTGACATCTTGTACTTATGGCGGGTTTGTTGATAAGCAGTTTATTTCATATGTTCATTTAGCGAGAAGTTAAGTGTTTATATCCGTATGCTTTGTTTGCTAACTGTTATTTGATATTGTCATTTCAACTGATTGGCTGCTCTTTGACTTCCCCGGTGTGGCTGTGCTTGATGTGTTTGGTGGCAACTTGCTTACCTGTCTAATATCCTCCACTCTTATTACTGGCTCCAGGCGATTGTGAATCGTTACTTGGGGAGACTGGGTACACGGTGTTCGTGGCGGTGCTACGCTCGAATAGTTGTTCCATCCACTGTGGGGCGGACTACGGTCCTGCCACCGCCTTGTGTGCGATTGATTCCAAAATACAGCGTGTTTGTGTTTGCTTGTGAAAGAGTATGAGCCGCCTCCGTTGATGAAACCTGACTCCCATCCACATGCCTCCCGGTCTTATTCTTTCGGATTTACACTGGATATGGGGTGTGTGGATGGAGCTGTGGGTGGTGCAGCGCAAGCCACTCTCTCTGTAGGCTCAGACGTCTTGTGACGGTCTTCATGGAGACCATGGTGCCAGGCTAGTCCGGAATCGGATGCCGCCAGTCATATGAAATTCATCCCTTTGATCAAAAGCCGCGAGTGATCGGGACCGTCAGCGGAGCATACGGACGACTGCGTGGGGACCTTATTATGAATTGCTAAGTTTAAAGGCATCCCAAGCACATGTGCTTCCATTTGCTAGTGCTCCGTCACCACACTAATCTTATAGGCCATCATCTCAAGCTGGTTAAGCAGCACTGCCGTTTGGAACGCCGTCTGAATTTCTTTCATTACTGGTTTGCCGAACCTGGATCGTCACCTGTGCTTCCACGCTGGCGGAGTTCAAAGCCGGAGTTGAATGTGCGCTTATTCCTCTGCACCATCTCGCATAACTCGTTGCCTTTTGGCAAAAACACGAGTGTTAGCTCGCGTTCACTGTCGATCGGATCATGGCACACCCTCCACAATTTTCACCTCTTACTCTTGTTCGCCAGGAACTGTCACAACTTTTGCTAATATCACATTTATCGTTATTCCTTGTAGATTTAATTTGGGCTTACAGTTTTTAATGCATATTCCTCGGTGAGCTTATTGCTACCAGCTTACACTTTGGCGGTGCTTTTTCAATACTTTGCGATATTCTCCATGATTACCATACGGGACCTTCTAAGCTTTAGCTCTTCTACTCGTATTAAACCATTGTTTCATTGTTCGCTCTTTGCTGGTGGTCTCCTAACGATTCACTAATGCATCACTGCGCTCACCCTTGATTTCCTACTGTATAATGAGACAGTTTTTTCTCTCCCCCTCTGCTTTATTGGTCAGAAAAGTAAACAAGGCCTTTCGACTTTGGTGAGTACCGTGTACCGTTCTGTCTCCTCGTTTCTCTCACCAGAAGATCGGGGCGTTGTGGTGGCCAAACTGACTCGCAATGCGAACGTGGAATTTTGCAAAGCATTTTGGAGCTTCGCCGAGCATCCTTTGGTCGCCGGTGGACCGAATGTGATCATGCCCACAATGGCCATCGTGCACTCCTTTGAACTTTTGCCACGTAATCTTCGTATACCAACAAACCATCCTGGTGGTTGCGCAGCGCTCACGGAAAAGAAGGAATCTTCCAAACTCGAAGAAGGTGAGATTGCTTTGCCTGCGTCCCATTTTTGTTGACTGTATTTAGCTGAGGTGTCTTCCACCTCTAGATAACGTATGTTAATGATGTTGATGAACGTTCGTTATTTTTTTAACCCTGCCTCCACTCAAATCATTTCGCGCATAATTGTCGCTTCTTCAGGCCACATAAACGTCGAACTTTGCTCATCATTTTGCACTGATCGTTTACCGCATAACAACACGATGCTTTAGCAGTATCTTCGCCCAGTGAGGCATTACACGTTGCGCAACCCGCAAACCTCGAGCTGGAAGTGACCTCTCTCAATAGCGGTGTACGACACGGTTGCACTCTTTCCCCGTTCCTGTTCAATTTTTCGACTGAGAACCGTGTCGAGAGCTTGGTGAGGTTACTAGATGCTACTGGGCAAGCGAGCGATCAATTAATCTTACGATGCACTTTCAACAGACAGTTTTTATTTGATGTCGTCTACTACAGTCAGATCGACGGAGTCACCATGGGGTCTCCTCTCGAACCGCTTTTTGCTGACATTTTCCTTGCTATGCTCGAACATGGACCTATAAAACCCATCATCTCTTCATTTGATTTTTATTGTCGATACATGGATGACACCTTTATAGTCTGTGATTCAAACACTGATGTTTCTAGCCGATTGAACCGTTTAAGCAGTTTACATCCATCTTTGAAGTTCACCAGTACAATCGAGAATGATGGTCAATTAACCTTTTTGGACGTTTTACTAAGGAGAAAAGAAGACGGTTCCCTAGAAACAAGTGTTTCGTAAAACGACGTGGGTCGGTCAATGCACGCAGTTTCTCAGTTTTTTACCCTTGAAGTACAAACGGAACCTTGTTCGTTGCCTGTGCTTTCGCGCTGCCAAAATTTGTAGCCCAGGGACATTGGAGGCCCTAAAGAACCGTATTTTCCAAACGCTGCAAGTAAACGGTTACCCAGCCCACTTCGCCCGAAAGCACGCAGTGATTCATGATCGTCACGAATTGATTACAATTGTTCCTAAAAAATATGTATTTCTATTAATTCCCTTCAAGGGAGATATGGTTTTCGATCAGCTGAACAAAAACGTTTCCGCTGCAGTAGGTCAGACGTTTTCAGCTGCGGGAAACCCCCAACATTTTGTCGATCATTCCTGCTGGCGTGTTCTTTGACCACCGTTCATATTGACATTGCATATCGTAATCCGTCCACACAAGGAATTTTCCAACAATACATACAACCAACCTCGGTGCTTAGCAGTTCTTAGCATGCTAGCTTCCGACGCATAGCACTCTTACAGTAAGATAATCTCTCCTTTTGTCGGATTCATTTCGCGTATATCGGGTCAGTCGTGGGTGATTGACTATCCTCTGCGTGAACTTGCAGCATTAGGACCTGTTACACACAGAGTTTTGGCCCATCTACCCACCACAACACATCCCTTGCGATATTTTTCCACGCTTCCCTGTCGCCTTGCGACCGATAGCACACAGATATCTGTCTACATACTGTGATGGCTATGGAAGTTATTCTGCTACAGTTACTTCCACACCTACGATATTTCTCCACTGTGTTGCGTTGTTTTCAGCCTTCATTACAATTAAGTACCCTGAGGCCCATGGGGTTCCTACTCCCGTCTCTGTGCGTCTGATCAGTCATCGCGTACGTCCCGGTATGGAATGGGCGCAGAAGAATCTCTTGTCTAGCATTTTGCAATCGGCCAACTTGACGCGAAAACCGGACGACAGTGATATCACTCATCCGTCTATGTTTGGAACCCAGTCAACTTTCACTGACGGATTTCGTATGAACTCGTTTTCTGACAACTGCCCATCCAGCAACAACGGAAGTCTGAAGAAGATGTCACCAAATTCCCGCATTTCGTCTAGCTACACCAAAACAACGAATCCTAATCATACACCTTCGGATTTATCGCCTTATCTTCTGTTTCACATACACGGTGGAGGATTTGTCGCAATGAAGTCTCAGTCGCAAGATGTGAGTTCGCCTAGCTACGCTACTTTGCCCAAATCTATCCGTGTATCTTTCATACTTGCGTTACTCCTCCATATAATTCGTGTTCGTAGACCTCCCCCCAGACGAATGCGTCGAACCATCCGATATTCCCGAATCCGATTAATGCGACCCATATCGAGCTATGGTTATCCCCATGCACTGGTCTTACTCCAGTGCCTTAGAACTTATTGTTGCGTTTATTTTTATACACGAACAAGTGCTCCCGGGGTCTCTACTTGCTTTTTGTCTTGCAGGTTGTCTTACGTTTCTTTGCCTGCTTGCCGATCTCGAATACATGTGCCATTTACTGCTGCCGAGACTCTGTGTCTGGTTCGTTGTGACATGGAAGTGAATAGTGTGTATGTGACCTAACGAAAAAACTGATGCAGCTGACCACGACACTTTGCGCTATCACTGGTTCTTGTCGTCTACCTGGTTGTGCGCCCCGCGATATCATGCACACTAGTTTTTAAGCCCCCTGCCTATGGCGAAGGGAACAATTTTTCTCTGTTCATTCCTTCTTAGGGAGTAAGTAGCCTGGCTGACGGCTTTTGTGTTTTGAGGTTCACTGTAACCCACCACATCTCCGAAGAATCGCTTTACCGTTGTTTCGATCGGTTCGAAGCTCCACGACGATGCACATCCGCTGTAAAAGGGAAGCCATAAGTTCTGATCTGGCGAAATTCGGCCGGTGCGTACTATTGACGGTTCCTAATAGGGATAGACTACGGTTTAGCGATTTCGATGAAACATTTGTTCAAATTTCAGCTCAAAGTACACAGCATTTACGGCGTTTTTCCAGTTGACCACTTAAAAATGGAATAAAATACCAATAGGGCGAAACGCGTCTGGTGCTTTGCCGGACCAGGCTCTGCTACATAGCTTGTGAACTGTTGGGATGAAGCCTTGTCAGAATTACGACTAAAATCCTGCTACTCGTGAGTAATATAAATTACAATAGGCTCTCCTAATTTCAAATACTTTGGATATAGCGTCTAGCGAGAGGAAGTCATCACCTCGCAGGCTAACCACTGTCAGTGACAGTGGAAGATAGATGATGCTATATCCCAGTTAGTTTGCAAATTATGTAGCCCAGCCAACGTCCCCCATGGCTCAGTGACTTAAGCTGCTGGCTAGTTGGCATCTGCCTCTACCGGTCACGGGTTCGATCCTCCTTAGAGGACCGAGGGAATGCACATCACTGACGAGCCCCAATAGGGCGAAACGCGTCTGGTGCTTTTCCGGACTAGGCTCTGCTATGTAGCTTGTGAACTATTGGGGTGAAAGCCTTATCAGAAATATCAAGGAGTTCGAAGGAAATGCCGCACTAAGGGAATTACTTAGAAATTATAGTAATCAAACAAGACATTAGAGGAGTAGACGTAATCAATGGTGAAATTGCGCACCTGACTTCGTAATCGTGTGACACGCATTGGGTTTTTCTCTTCATCGACGTGGTTAATTCTGTGCCTCCCATCGCGGGAAGTACGCACCAGCCGGATGAAATTTCTCAACAGTTAAACCACGCCCCTTTGACACGTTATCGATTGCTTACCTGTAGATTATACCTTAACATGTGTAGTATTGGCAAAGTCCTGGTCGTCGCTTTCGGTTACCGCCTTACAAGGGATATTATCAAGCTAACACTGTTTACCCCAGCTTTCTGATAATGATCTGAATTCCCGGTGGATGGGGATCAAAAATGCCTTAGTTACTGCCAGCATTGTTAGTTGCGGAGTCACCCATCACCTGCCGAAAAGCTGGATCGCTGCTTTATCCTTTCGTTGCTGAGTAGACGAAGCACTGTCTCGTCCGGTTCTAGCTGTAGTGAAGAACTACGGTCCCTAGAACGAAAATTGTCAGGAGTTTACAAAAGCACCGTGAAATCTGTTAGTGGGAAAGTGCTAGAGAGATGGAACTCGCTAGCGTTTCTGGTAATACCAGAAATCTTATCCGAGTCACCGAGGATTTCCGATCTGGTGTAAGCGAACGAGCTGTGAAGGGGATGACTAATCACTAATCTCCAACGACGGTGGGTGGAATGTGCCGAACAATTTGGCTTGCAGTTTTGCTGGCCACCAGCTCCATCTACTTTCCCTGGAGCGCTCACTAGTGCTGAGTGCTCTGTCCCCACAAATCCTCCTCACCAGGATATCTGTCATGAACTCCGCCTCTTGCAACACTATAAAGCACCGAGTCCTTATGGCTTACGCCCGCCCTATTTAAAAATGGTGGATGCTCGCTGGTTCAAGAACTTTGGTTTCAGAACTCTGGCTGTAAGACGAGTTTCCATCATCTTGGGGTAGGTCGATTGCCGTCCCCATCTTCAAAAAGGGTTTGCGCACAATGTGTCCCAACTACAGAAGTAACAACTTAGTTCCCCTAGTTTATAAGGCTCTGGGGTCCGTCATACTTCGAAGACCATCTCCAATGCGCGAATCGCTACAGCGGGAAGAACAAGCTGAGTTCTGCCCTGGCTTCGTCTGCATCGATCAAATCTTCACATTCCGTCAGATCTTCGAACTCCGCCATGTATACCAAAAGCCAACGATTGGTGTGTTCCTGGATATCCGCGCTGCCTTCTATTCTATCGACAAGTCGGCATTGCGGTACTGTTGCTTGAGGAACGGCGTCCCGGGAAGTTCGTTTCCATACTGGGTACTATGCACTGTCTGACCTCGGGTAGAGTTAGGGCCAATGGCAAGCTTTCGCTTTCCTGTGTTGTCACCAGTAGAGCCCGATAAGGAGGCCTTATCTAATTCTGCCATTTCGGATGTCCTCAGAAATGCTCTGGAAGATTCGTTGAACGCTGGCTTTGAGTTCCTTTAAGGTAGCCGGATTGTTGATTTGGACTACGCTGACGATATCGTTTTGCTGGGTGACGGACCACAGGCCGTCCAACTTCCACTCAACCGTTTAGCGATTGAAACACAAAGTTTGAGATGGCTTTTACCCCATCTAAGTGCAAAGCTCTTTTCCGATGCCTGTAACTGTATTCACTTTTGAGGGAGCGACACTGTAGGTTACGGAGAGTTTTGCCTACCTGGAAAATTGCATTACAGCCGGTGGAGCTGCTGGAGTCGAGATTTCGATGCGTATCTCAAGAACTTGCCTAGCTATCTTTAAGCCGAGGCACTGGCTGCGCCGCCATGACATCCGTATATATATATATATATATATATATATATATATATATATATATATATATATATATATATATATATATATATATATATATATATATATATATATAAATGGCGTGAGAGCCTATGGTGCACTGAGGCTGGTGGTGGCTAGATCCTGACAGATGGTCTACCCACTGCTGCTACTGCTCCGCCATAGTCTCATGTCCTGGGCGCCTCCACGTGGCGACCGCTGGGTGGGAGTTGGGTTTCGCCCTTCTCCCTGCTAAGATCCAGGACACCAATCCGCATGAGTCGGCTAACTGACCATGTGCTAGACTCGCTGCCTTTCGGGTGTATATTTAATCGAAGGCTTTGGCTGAGGACCCGAGTCGTTCTCCTGTCAGGTGTGGGCGTCCTGGCAGTATCCTAGTCCATCCTCTCCGGAGATTAGGAAGTGGTCGATGGCTCTTTTCGCGTAAAACCTAGCCATGGGAGACAACAGGTTTACGGGTTATATTCTCAAAGCTCGATTGGCGTAGAGCACGAGGGCCACGCATTGTCTATGACGGTGGGAGGACACCTCCGAGTGTTCAATGGTTTGCTACTGCCCGCCTCAAGCCAGGCAGCCCCTGGTCAAATTGGTGCAAACCCGCCAAAAACCCACCTGCGTCTGGCCGTGGTCGCAGGTGCGTATCCAATTACGGTCGCAAAACATATGATAATTGTTCCATAACCTCAAAGGCTGCGTGTGACGGCCGTCAAGCACATCCCAATCTGTCTCTGCAATCACATTCCCGAGCTGGATCTGCTCTCCACTGCCTTGTGGGTCAGGCTATTGAGCCAAAGGCTCCGGGCGGAGTCCTTCAAGCAAACCTCCAAACCACCCACTGCCTTGTGGGTCAGGCTATTGAGCCAAAGGCTTCGGGTGGAGTCCCTCAAGCAAACCTCCAAACCACCCACTTCCTTGTGGGTCAGGCTATTGAGCCGAAGGCTCCGGGTGGAGTCCCTCAAGCAAACCTTCGAAGCACAACGACCACCTCGTGTGCGATTGCCCACCAATGCAATCGTAGGCCTGCGCGCAAAGCACTCAGCATCGGGTGCTGGAACGTGCTCACACTACTGGACCGGAACTCCAGCGAGCGCCCGGAGCGACGCACTGCACTGGTCGCGATGGAGCTGGCGCGCTATCACATCGATATTGCGGCGTTCAGTGAAACTCGGCTCGCTGAGCAAGGTAAGTTACATGAAGTAGGTGCTGGCTACACATTCTATTGGGTGGGGAACGCCGCCTCAGCACCACGTGAACATGGGGTCGGATTTGCAATATCCGATCGCCTCCATGGCCAGCTGGTGGGTGAACCAACGGGCATCAGCGCGCGACTGATGACTGTTCGCCTACGACTCGGAAGAGGTAAGTTTGCTACTTTTATAAGCACGTACGGTCCGACCATGTGTTATCCTGATGACACGCGTGATCAGTTCTACACTGAGCTATCCTCCGTGATACGGTCTGTGCCGAGGAGCGACCGACTATTTCTGTTGGGTGATTTCAACGCGCGTGTTGGGCGTGATGCATCAGCGTGGACAGATGTTATCGGTGCGCATGGCATTGGTTCAGCGAATGCGAACGGTGACTGGCTGCTCTCACTGTGTGCCACTCACGGCCTGATGATAACGAACACTCGGTTTGCACTGAGTGCGAGTGATATAGCAAGTTGGACGCATCCACGGAGTGGTCACGCTCACCTGCTCGACTATGTCATCGTACGTCAGCGTGATATGCGTGAAGTGCGCATGACACGTGTACTGCGTGGAGCTGAGTGTGGCACTGATCACAAGTTGGTTCGGACCAAACTG